AATTTTCATGCTTGATTATATGCCTTCCCCCCCCCACCCCACCCTTATGAGGAACTTTTAGTATTTTTGAGATCTTTTTATTATCTGGTGGCACTTTTTTAAAAATTTCCTTTCACAACATACGGCTTTATTTACCCTTGAGATGGACTCATTCATTTTCCTCATGTGCTCATCACTCAGGGTTTAAAGCCTTATTTTTTGTTTAAGTAGAATAAAATGGGTAAGAAATTCTACTCAAGTTAAATAGGAAAGCTTTTAAGAGAGGAGAAAGACAAATGGGATTTTAAATCTTTATTTGAACCATGTTAGCTGAGCAGGAAGCTGCAAACAACCAAGAAAAAGGGGGACCACAGGAAGTGTGATAGCTGATAGCTGTGCGTGAGAAAGAGATGATGGGTCAGCGAGCCCTGGAGTGGGGCAGTTCCATCACCCCCGGCAGCCCTGAGTGAGGACAGGGGTAGCGCTGGGGTAGAGAGGACGCGCCCATCCTTCACTGTAGTTAGGTGCTGTTGAGTCTGACTCACAGCGACCCTTTGAACCCCGTCCTGTCCTGTGCCGGCCTCATCATCTCTGACACACTTGAGTCCATGGCTGCAGTCACTGTCAGTCCATCTCGTTGAGGATCTTCCTCTCTTTCGTTGAGCCTCCCCTTTCCAAGCATGATGTCCCTCTTCCAGGGAATAGCCTCTCCTAGAAACATACCCAAAGTATGTGAGACAAAGCTTTGTCATCCTTGCCTACAGGGAGCATTCTGTCTACACTTTGTCCAAGACATATCTGTTCTCTTAGCAGTCGATAGGATTTCAGTATTCTTTTCCGTCGCCACAGCTCTAGGGACTTAATGCTAAGGAATTGCGCTGCCAGGCTAGATGCACACGGTTCGGATCCACCAGTTGCCCTGCAGTGTCTTAGCTTGCTTTACTGCCTCTGAGAAACCTGCCGGAGGATCAGCTTTGAGTTGGGTCCAACTTGCCAGTACTCAAGATCCTTTGGGATCTTTCACTAGAAGATGAATAATAAGTTTGCCTTAACATTTGTTATGTTTCTTGCTCTGGCTCCGGAAGCCTGGAGCTCACCTGCCTGTCCTCTCGTCCTTTCTCAGCCATCTGTCTGTTGTTAGGTCCTTTTGAGTCGAGCCCAACTCATAGCAGCCCTGTGAACAAGAGATCTGAACCCTGGCCTATCCTGTCAGCCCTTTGCTGACACAGAGACCTGTGTCAGGCCATCTCATTGAGAGTATCTCTCTCTCTTTCACTGACCCGCCACCTTTCCAAGTATAATGTCACTCTCCAAAGAAGAGCCTCTCCTAGCAATATGCCCAGAATATATGAGATTAAGCTTTACCATCTTTGCCTCTAAGGAGCACTCTGGGGCCATTTCTCCAAGGTGTATCTATTTGTTCTTTCAGCAATCCAGGGGATATTCAGTATTCTTCTCTAACAGGGAGAGGAAGGTGTTCTAGTTCGGAGAATGTGTGTTGTGTTGTGTACTGTTGAGTCTGAACTGACCCATAGCTGACCCTCCAGTGGGTTTTCAGAGACAGTTAATCGAACAGGAGAAGATTTGTCCATCCTTCTCCTGCAGAGCAGCTGGTGGATTCGAACTGCATGCCTTTGGGATTGCAGTGCAGTTTCTTACCACTTAGCCACCAGAGTCCAGGGAATAGGACCTTTTAAAAAACAAAGAGAATAGTTAGCATCTCTACACAGAAGCTTTTTTGTATTTTTGAAGGGCTGGGCCATTACTGAGGGAGACAAACCTAGGAGCCCATGAGAGCAAGAGGTGGGGGAGTCAGGGTGGTACCAAGCTAAACCCTGCTGACTTCTGTCTGGTGAAGGACGACAAGGACTGAGTCAAAAAAAGGCAATTTGTTCAACCTCTGAGATTCCTCAAGAGCTGAAAATGTCAAGTAGCATTAAGTCTTAAGTGACTGCTATCTTTGAAGAATTTGAGCATTATCTTTTTTTAAAAAAATATTTTCATGGATTGTCATAAAATAATACCTTTATAATATGTTTCATTCATATATACTGTTTTATACTCTTTCATTTATATTGTTTCATATGATCATTCGTATACACTCTATTTTACATTTTTTATACTAGTTTATTTACAAAATTCGAAAACTGATTTTCACACCAGATCCTTCCCATTTCACCCACCCATCAAACTGTGCAACCCCAAGATTAATCCCCCCTGCCCTGCACATCGTCACCCCTCTGCTTCCACCTCCGCCCCCCCCTTTTTATCCTCTTGCTCATTCTACAATAACGGTTTTATACAGTATTTGTCCTTGTGGGACTGAGTTCTTTCACTCAGCATAATGCTCTCCAGTCCCTTCCAAGTTAGGTAATTTACAAAGTCATTGCTCCGAAAAGATGATAGGGAGCCATTCAAGATATTTTAGGAAGTAATATGTGAAAACATCTTGAACATCAGGTATTTCTTTATCAGCATTTCTCCTTGCTCCCATAGCAACAGGCACATTAACGAGAGCCTGTGATTTTCAGCTCTTAAGGTGTTTTCTTTTGTGGGTCAGAGTGAATCACTCCCCACTGTCCACAAAGGTGACTTTGCTGAGAAGCACTGGTGCTGACATTGTAACCTCTTCTAGCGCTGACATCAGAACAGCATCTGGACTTGTGTGGAAATGGCCTTGCTTACAGACTGCGGGAGCTAAAGAGTAAAACACTTACTTCTGGAGAAGAAAACTGTGGAAGTAGGTTCACTGACACACAGCCCCGCAGGCTTTCTCCTCTCTTCCTGAGTGAGCCTTTCCCAGGACAAGACTCTAAGCGTCTGCTATTTAGAAATTAACTTGAATGTCTCCTTTGCTTTGTCAACATCAGAAAAATGACTGGACAGTACATTTCACTGAGCAGGACCTGGAAGAGGTTGGCTCTACAGGAGAGAGCATTGATATGCCTGGGAGGAAAAGGTCCAGATTAAAACCCTACCTCACCCTGTGCCCAGGGCTTCTAAACCATTCCCAGCACTGAGGCATCGTGTGGAAAAAAGGAGAGTTGTTGCTGAAAACTTCTTGATTGTTTTCCGTTTGAGTTGGAGCTACTGATGACTGACTCCTTCCCTAGAGTCCACTGCAGAGGAGTCTGCCTCATTGATATTCCAGATGATTGTGAAGTTGAAAGTCCTTTTACACTATGAACCTAATGGAACAGCCCAGCAAGATTTTTTTTTTTTTTAAAAAAAAGCATCTTTTTGTTAAGACTAGCTTTAATTAAAAAAAGGGCTTGTGGGAAAGGCTCACTCAGGAAATCGATAGCAGATACCACTGATTAGGCAATTTTTAACACTCTGACGTAGGAAACAGCACAAAGTTCTGTTACAGCATCACATCCATGGGCAAGGTGCTCTTTTATGTCACATACTCGGATTTGAAGGGAGTTTGGAAGAAATGTCACAAAATGAGTCACAGAATCACAGATAGAAGGACCGGGGGGGGGGGGGGCAGTAAGTGTGTGAACCCTGCCTTTATTTTATAGATGAGGAAACCAACGTCTCGAAAGAAGGGATTTATAGCTGAGTCCTAAGTAAAATCAGATTATATCAAATGCAATTGGACACAAGTTCTTGTTTGTGTATTGTGTTTATAAGCTTATGGATGCTTTAACATGCAATTGACAGTTGTGTTTGGGACACTTGGATTTTGGTAGGCATCAGGTCTACCTTGGCATTTGATTATATTCCATGCACCAGGTGTTGTGTGCCATCGAGTCAGAACCAACCCATAGCTCACCCTCCAGCAGGTTGCCAGAGGCTGTAAGTTGCACAGGAAGAGAGTGCCCAGCTTTGTCCCCACGAGCAGGTAGTGAATTTGAACCGCTTGCCTTTGGGTTGGCCAAAGCGCATCTCCTTACCTAGGCCACCAGCGCTCCCTACAGAGTTATGCTTGAGAGATTTAACTGAAGCTTCAGTAATACGTACATAATGCCTGCTCCTTCAAAGTAACCCTTAGAAGAGAAAAACAAAATAAACACAGTATAACATGGTTGGTGGTGTATAGAAAAGATTACAAATTAAGTATGTATTGGACAAGCAACTGTTTAGGAAAAGATTTTCCTAATCTACTAGTCTTCTCACACCCAGCCCTCAAATCTGTGTGTCTGACCTTAAAAAGCACCTTTGCCTTAGTGAATTGACGTTGACAGTATTTGTGCTGTTTCTTAAGTCAGGATGTGAAGAATTGCCTAACAAGTGGTATCTGCTTTTGATTTCCTGAGTGAGCCTTTCCCACATGTCTGTCTCCTTCATCAGTTGTACCCCACAACTGTGTTGTTTCTGCTTTTCCTCTGGCCGCCTGGCTCTGTTGGGTTTTACGACTTCATGGCTGCAGGGAAAACTGACAGTGGGCCTGTCATTCTGAGGCAGAGAAGACTGGGTGCTTCCATCAATGGCCCTCGTAGGACGAGGGAGTGAGAAGGAAGAGCTGAGGTAAAATCCCATCAGTGGCAAGTTGTGGTCTGTGCTCTGTCTTTCTGGACACCTCCCCTCTTGTCTGAGTCAAGAATCCAGAGGCTCCTCAGGCAGTCCCAGTGCCCTTGCCTTGTGACTCTGGAAGATTACACAGAAGCTCAGGGCATGGAGATTGAAGGAAGACGGCAGCTCTGGGGAGATTTCCAGATTCACACTCCACCTTTGCCACAGTGGTATAACATTTTACAGCCCCTGCTAGGGGATTTAGGTATTAATTTTGTAACTTGGGCTTCATGATGGTAGACACTTCCTTTTGCTAGCCTTTCTGCTTCCTGCCTGAGTAGCAGACTTCTAGTGTCCTTAATCAGAAATCATATCTGCTCTTGTCTCTCCTCCTCCTAAATGACCTCATAGGCTGCTTCCCAGAAGAGACTGTTATATCAGATAGTTACTTCTCACCCAGGAGAGACTTCACTTGGGAGTCCATTGCCCGGGCGGCCGTGTGGGGTCGAAGCCGAGACACTGTTGGTTTTGTGACGCTGACGCTGGATTTTGTTTTCTTTCAGATTGTGGTGCTTTTGTCCACAAAGGTTGCAGAGAAAGTCTGGCCTCCTGTGCGAAGGTCAAAATGAAGGTAAGACGTGTCTGACTAAAAGAAGATTTCAAATTCCAGAAGCCTCAGGAAGTGGGAGACTTCATATATATGGTAGCTTTTGAATTTTTTATTTTAGTTGAATCATTTTGATGACAAAATTATTTTTTCTAAAATTTTCCCCAAAAGGGTTACATTCTTTTCTTTACTAACCCACTTGGAAATTTGAGATTTTTGAAAAATAAGGTGCATCTATATTAGAGGACTTCAACATGCCATTTTTGTCATTTTAATGTTCCAGTGTTGTTACAGAAGTGACCTTCTTCTTTTCCATGTCTGCCTTTTGCTCTTCCCCCTGTGTATCTCACTTCCCCATCCAGGATGAGGAGGGTCGTAGCTGGCACTCAGGAGATTTGATGTTTGAGTGGCCTGGGACATGTTGTGGTTACACCCCTGTCCCTCTCTCTGGTAACCGTCTTTTCCATGGGGTACAGAAAACGAGATACCACAGTAAAAGGGCCTGTTGTATGGTGTGTCCAGCTCTAGGTTGCCCTTTTGTGTGACCCTTCAAAATGAGTACGGGTTTATGGGGTATACCTTTCAAGTGACCTGTGTGGTTCAGTATTCCAGGCACTCAGACACTTGGCGTACTGTGCTTCTCCGTCAGCCGCAGGCACATCTCTCTAGCGCTGTGACCCCATGCTGGGGCGAGCACATGACTCAGTCTGATTCTGGAAGCCTCTGGTGGGGTCTAGGAACTTGCTTTTTTAACATACTCCTAGGTGGCAAATTTCTTTTCCGTCTGTGGATCAGCCCAAGGACAAATACTCTGGCTCATACAGGGCTTAATTTGAATTAGGGGTAACCCTTTAAGAATTCTATTTCATGTCAATTTGTATTCCTTTCCCTCATAAAAAATTAGAAAAGCTGACAACTGGGCCTCCAACACTTTTCGCTCACCCAGAATTCCCAATTCTTCTTAACCTTATCTTCCTTTCCCCCCACCATAGTGCTTAATGCCTTCTCAAAATCTATATACAACAATGTAAAATTATGATGTTTATTGTTCTTGCTCAACGCCAACAACAACATAGAGAGAGAGAGCAGTTGGCCTAGCAGACAAAAAGCCATGCTCCCAAGCCAAAGGTGGGTGACTCTGCTCCGCGGCCCTCAGGCCTGCCTTTAATTGCTTTTGGTGAAACATTCTTCTAGGTCGTATAGCCCTGGTATGTCCACTTGCTGTACAGAGGTAACTCGTGGTCGCTGTGAAGCCGAACACTGTGACACTGATGAGTCAAATGCAAGAATGGTTACCCATGGTGGACAGTGTTTGGTGGAGCTCCCTGATTAAAACAAGCTTGGAAGCAGGAGTGGCATCCACTTCCATAATAACTTGCCTCTGGAAACCCTATGAACCTGGAGAAAGGACTAAAGTTATAAAGGTGTCCAGAACTTTGGTTCATAGGGTCTATGAGTCACTGAGGGTCAGGAACCAAGCAGAGCAGTAAGGTACACTGGCCCAAAGCAGGTTGTCCCTACCCTCTTCCTGTTCTGGGTTCCTCAGAACTCAGTAAAAGATAATTATAAACGAAGTCTTCTTTTTCCTTCAGCAGCCCAAAGGGAGCCTGCAGGCACATGACACATCATCACTGCCCACGGTCATTCTGAGAAACAAGTGTAAGTAGCTCATCTTAGCTCTCAAAGTCCACTTTTTCACTTTCTGGTTCTGAACTTTACTTACATTGTTATAAGAAGTCTTAATATTTTAATACTTATTTTGTAATAAGTTATAAAAGGCTATTTTTTGGTCCTGTAGATTTGTTGACCAATAGCTACCAACAAACCCCCTTTGAAAGTTTCTGAAATAGTACTTGAGACCTGAAGCCAGTGCACCTTTAGCCCCATGTGTTTGATAAGCAGGTGATCCTCATGTGCATGTAGATTTCCTCATCAGTCAGAGTCCTAGAACTTGGCTCGGGGCCTCACAGTTGTGAAATCTTACATGTTAAACACTTCATAAACATAAACAATGAAGATACAGCAATAATAATAGTTCATCTTATTGAGAATCTGTATGGCACCCTCAACCACTGGCATCGAGTTGGAACCATCTCATAGCTGACCCTCCAGGGAGTTTGGGGGGCTGCACGTCTCACACGAGGAGTTCCCCTGTTTCTCCCGTGGAGTCACTGGTGGATTCGAACTGTCAGAGAGGTGCTCCTTTCAGGTTGCCTACGGACTAGGCCATCAGGGCTCCCTAAACTGACACAGAGACTTGAATAAATCAGTCCTTCACACACAGCAAGTTGTCTTTTTCAGTCTTTACCAGGATCCACTTAGATTTTATTTTACTTTTCTCCCTTCCAGTCCCTATCCTCCCTTTCTTTCCTGATAGCACCCATTTAGTATGTTAAGTGTGTGGCCCTCTAAGCTACTGTATCTCTTTATCTTTAGAAATATAGATAGCTTTGCAAAGTAACTATGATTATTTTGTGTATTGAATTTCAGGTAGGTAGTGATCTGACTGTGCCTATGCATTCTGTTTGTGGTTGTTTTCACGCAGTGTCGTTTTGTGATCTCTGCTTGTTACTGTATGTATATCATTGTTTCAAACTGCTGTGTGGCTGCTTCTTCCTCATTATGTGTGTGTCACATTTTAATTTTGTTTCCACCAGAGGTGGACATCTAAGTCCCTTAAAATAATTACTATCAGTAATACAGTAACAACTGTCATTGGCTTCTTAGGAACTACATAAGAATTTCCTTAAGGCAGTGTTTTTCCAAGTGTGGTTCCTGAACTACTGAGAAACACAAATTGTTGAGCCCAGACCTACAGAATCAGGAATTCTAGGTAGAGTGTGAGACGTTGTGTTTGAATAAATGCACCACCTGATTCTGACCCATGCCCCAGTTTGAGAACTACTGTTGTTGTTGTTTATACCGCCAAGTTGGGACCAACTTGTAATAGACCCTCCAGTGAGTTTTCAGAGGCAGTAAATTGCACAGGAGGAAATTTCTCATTCTTCTCCCACCGAGGAACTGGTGGGTTCAGGCCTTTGAAATTGCAGTGCATTGTCTTCTCACTAGGCCTCCTCTCAGATTTAGCCACACCAAAACCTAAGCCGAGAGTCACTTCCTCCTCCTGATGGTCCTGAATTGGATTTCCAAGTCTAGAAATCATGACAGGGTGAGACTTGCTTCATTCTTCTCCTATAGAGTGGCTCATAGAACCACGTTTCTGGCTTTTCCGTTAACAGTCCAGTAGGTAACACTCTATACTGCCAGGGATCTTTCTAGGGTCAAGTCCTTCCTGTAAGCATTAATGCACTCCAAGGGTGTGGGTTCCCGTGGTCCACATTTCAGAGCCTAAGCTGGTTGCCATCGAGCCTATCCTGACACTTGACCCCCAGATACCTCAGCATAGAACTCTGCTGCATGTTTTTAGTGGCTGAGAATTTCAAAGCACATCTCCAAACCCTCTGAGCTGCCTCTGGGTGAACTCAGATGACCAAACTTTTGGTTACTATCCAAGCTCTTAATCACCAGGAATTCCAGAAGACAAAGTAAGACCTGTTCTTATAAATCTTAGCATGTAGAGAACATCAAGAGAATCTTTGCCATACTAACATCCATTTGATGATTTTCTACCCATTCTCCATGCTTCTTAGAACTCATCCTCCTTAAACTCTTTTCTGTGGCATTATTCATTATTTCTGAAACCTGTTTTCTCCTAGAGGTAATACCATCTTTCCTTTTTTAAAACAAAAGAATTTTTAAAAAAAGAAACCACTAGATGCTTTCTGTGAGACACCTCCAAACCCCTTTTTATCCCCCTGAAATATTGAGTGTAGACTGGAGATTCAGATTGCATAGCTTCAAGTCCCTTAACTTGATTCAGATACCATCACTTAGTCGCTGTAGACTTTACAGCCCATCCCTGTGCCTCGTTTTCCTACTTTGCAGAACAGGGAACGTTTTGAATGAGATTGTATTTACAACATTCTTTGTTCTTGTTGTGGTGTACTGTAGAATTGGAACCGACGCACAGCTGACCCTCCGGCGGGTCTTCAGAGGCAGGTAATCACACAGGAGGAGGTTGCCCATCCTTCTCCTTTAATAGCAGGTTTTGTTGTTTAAGTTTTAGCTTATGCTGTTACCAGCACAAGAAGCTAAGACTTGTAGTTATTAAGTAATTTATCCTGGTGGACTACAGATTGTTGTTTAGCAAGGAAAGACTTCTTGCTGCTCCTCTCTGCTGCCTTTGAAGTACGGTTGTTCTTTGTCTTAGAACTCTGCATAGCATGCCAGGCTTCATTTCTCTAACCTTTTCACAGATTCCTTCCATAAGTCTCCACTTTGTCTTTTTGTAATACTACATGTAACAGCAACAGTGTGTTTATTTCTGACTTCATTCATACATTCTCATTAGAATGGCCTCTTTTTTGCCTCCCACTGATCCAGATCTTCACCAGACTTGAAGAACTAGTGTTCAGAAATGTCTGTGATAATACTTAAGATTCTTTAACCTTTAAGCACATCTTTATTTGTACCATCTATTCTTATTCTCCGTTGGACATGTGCTTCCTGCAGCTAAGGTCAGATTATATTGTATTGATGACATTTCGGACTTTTTTTTTTTAACTGAATCATGTTCTTCTAAGTAGGATTTGGAATTGGTAATTCATGATTTTGCTAATTTTTATTATGTCAGATATCCTGAAATATTTGTAAATCTTAACAGCCACCCGAGTCCTATTTCTGTCCACTCCAAACCCTCCGGGGAGTGGGCAGGTAACCTTACCATAACCACGACCTAGGACAGGAGCTCTGTTGTTATCTGGAAAAAAGAATGGGTTACTCAGATGCCAGTGTGACCAGTTCAGTAAACTGGAACTTCTGTTTCCCCTGAAGGGGATATTTGTAGTATGATAATTAATTAGCTATGTGATATTAAGTATTGCCTTTTCTGTTAATGTATGGAATCGGTCAAAATACGTCTTCTCAGATAGTGAAGAGTTTACTAAATATGTAAACTCTCAGGCTCCACCTGAAAAGGTTGTGGAGGGCCAGGTGTGAGCATGTTTAACACCTGCTTCAGATATTTTCTCTTGTAGGGGATCTCAAAGGACACTGGCCTCCCCTCAGTTCTTTAGATTTTTTTTAATTAGTTTGATTTTTCTTATTTTTGTATGTTCTCAAACATTACTGAGTTGACTATGACTCACAGCAACCCTACGCACAATAGCTCAGAATCTTGCTCTCTTCTGACCCAATCTCACTGTCTCTGACACACATACCCTCATTACCCCACTTACTGCATCAATCCCTCACTCCAAGCATGGTGTCCTTCTCCAAAGATCTTCTGGCTACATGCCCAAAATATGTGAGACGGAGTCTCAAAATTCTTGCCTCCAAGGAACAGTTTGGTTTCACCTCTCCAGGACTGACCTATTAAATCTCTTGAAAGCCCATAGTGGGTTCCAAACTCTTCTCCTGCACCACAACTCAAAGGCATCAATTCTTCTTCTGTCATCTTTGGTCATTGTCCAGCTCTCTGATGCCAGCAATTAATTGTGAAGACCATGTCCTGGGCCAGGTGCACCTTAGTCTCTAGACTGACATTCTTGCTCTTCAGCACTCTGGAGCGGTCTCTGACAGCAGATTTCCTTAATGTAGTTTGTCTTTTGATTTCCTGACTTTTGGTGCCAAGAGTGTTGATAATGGAACCAAGCAAGCTGAAATTGTTTACAATCTCAGTCTTTTCTCCATCTATCACAGTGCTGCCAATTGGCCCGCTTGTGAGAATCTTCTTTTTTTGAGAATCTTCATTTTCTTGAGGTTGAGTGTCAGTCTGTATTGCAAACTACAGTCCTTGATCCTTTGCCACTTTTATGTTACATCATAACTTACTGACCGATCTCTTTTTGGTGCTCATTTTTATCATTTCAAGTCTTCTGCTTTTATGCCTGTTTCATTAACCAACTTTTGATATAGTTTGTACCTATACAGGTATATTTTGTAACATGAACATATCCTCAAAACTGGAATCACTGGATCAGAGAGCATATACATTTATCATTCCCATAGGTATCCCAGTTGTCTTCCATAGAGTTTTTAGACCAGTTTGCACTCTAGGGGAAAAATCTGTTTGAAAGCATTTTCCTGTCACCTCGCATTTATTAGGTGAGTCAGGTTAGAGTGTGTGGACCGATGGTGGTTCAGTTACCGTCCTTTCTTCCTTTACAGCGTCACAGCCCAAGGAGCGCCCCCGGTCCGCAGTCCTCCTGGCTGATGACACCTCCGCCGCCCCAATGTTCACAAACAGGCGGTCCCAGCAGAGCGTCTCACTTTCCAAAAGTGTGTCCATACAAAACATTGCTGGGTAAGTGACCATTTAAAGATGGCGTGGTTCATTGGATGTAATAAGAGCACAGTATTTGGGTCATCTGATAACAAGATCCTTCTTTGAGAAATGCAGGTGTATAAAAATGACTGATGAATAATTGGGACATCAAGCATTGAGAGTCCTGTGAGGATGCTCTTGTGGCTGCCACTTTTCCCAGCACCCCACTCTGCCCAGCTTCCCCTTGGCCTTTTGTGGCTAGTCAGTCTCACGGTTTAGGAGCCTGGATTCTATAAATTGATGTTTAAACCACAGTAAGAGGTGGGAAGGGGAAAGGATGATTTAATTTCAGTATTTTAATTGCAACCACTAATGGTTTCAGACGTCAGCCTTTTGATTGTTCTGAAGAACCTAGTCTTTTCTGGTTTCTAATCTCTTTTCCATCCCTACCTCCTGCCACTTGAGGCAGTGTCACGAGGGTGGGTAGGGAAGCAATAACTGCTGTCATATTCCCGCTTCCTCCCCTGTACTTGGCATGTTTTGTGGACCCCTACCACATTGTTTAGGGGCCCTGGTAGTACTGTGGTTAAAGCAGCTTGGCTGCTACTGTAAAAGTTGAAGAAAGATAGAACAATCTGTTTTTAAAGTATTTACAACCTTAGAAACCTAATATAGCAGTTCTGCTCTGTCCTGTGGTGTCACTCTGTGTCAGAATCAGCTTGGTGTCCATGGTCAGTCGTATGGTGTCCATTTACTCTTCACATATGAGCTCCCAGGTGGTCAGCACTGAGTATTGAACCAAGACTGCTTTAGGTAGGCATTTACCATCTAGTCAAGTAAATAAGTCTTCTCATACATAAGCCTCAAAACATCTCTCTTAACTGAGATTGGAGGAAATTTTTTTTTTATTGCTTTGCATACAGTTCTTTATATACACTGTGTTTCATTAAACGCATTGTGCTTTATACAATCATTCTTATCCATTGTATTTTATATAATTAGTTAATATTGATCTATGGCTATTGTCACCCATCTTTTTAAGTTCTTGACTATTGCTTCTGTTGTTGTAATGTGCTGTTGAGTTGTCTGAGTCAGAGAAACTCTGTAAACCGTCGATCTGAATCCTGCCCTATCCTGAGCCCCTGTTATGGTTGTTGTTGTTGTTGTGTGCTGTCAAGTCAGAACTGACACGTAGCTGACCCTCCAGCGGATTTTTCAGAAGCAGTTAATCACACAGAAGGAGATTGCCCATCCTTCTCCAGTGGAGCAGCTGGTGGATTCGAAATATGTGCCTTTGGGATTGCAGCTCTGTTTCTTACCACTAGGCCAACATAGCTCCCTTCCTGAGCACTAGAGGGTACAAAATCTCCTTTTATGTATATTTGCTATTCCTTTTGCTAGCTAATATATCTTTCTTTTTAAAAGTTTCAAATATTTGTATTTCGTTATGTATTTATATTTTCAGTTTTTGCAAAGGCTGTCTTGCAAGTTGTAACGTTAACAAAGTTTGCATAACGACTCAAGAAACTGGTCTTTTAAAAAAAGTTTTAAATGACTCTTGCTTGCTCTTGTGTTGCACATAAAGCTGTTCATTTGGTGCCTACACTGCTAGCTGCTCAATTAGGACTGAGAAAGATCCAGGTCTGTAGGTTAGATGCTTGGCCTGTAGTTACTCAGGAAACAGCAGAAGAAAGTATGTTGTGGTTAGGTGATGAGAACCAAGTGGAGAGACTTAAGAGTGTTCATAGTTTAGGAGAAAAGAATTCTCCCTTTTAAAAAAATTCTGGGACTCAGAAACCTTGAGATTGTCATGATGGGTAATATTCCCGCCCTTTGTTCCATACATGATGTGTGTTGTCTTCTTCAGTCATTGGAGTTCTTCACTATTTTGAAGTTTGTCAGGTCATCAGAACCTGTTTGACACCAGGTGCTTCTTTTCATCTCCAGAGTTGGCAATGATGAGAGCATGTCAAACACCTGGAAATTCTTGTCACATTCAACAGATTCACTGAACAAAATCAGCAAAGTCAATGAGTCGACAGAGTCACTAACCGATGAAGGTAAGCAAAGGTTACAGCTGCTGCCTTGTGCTTGTGTAGATCACGTGGGCCATATGGAGAACACAAGTGTTAACGGAATAAATGAACCCACCGTAGAGTTGTACACCTACCCCACAGGGACCTTCCATCTAGTGATTGAAAATCTTTTTGAGGAGGAAATTGCCTTTTTCTTTCTGAGCCACCAGTGGATTTGAACCTCTGACCTTTTGATTAGCAGCTCGACATACAACACCAGGGCTTTTAATTGCTCCTCTGTCTAAATTGTCTATAAAGCATGAAGTGGTTTCTGATGAACTGCTGTTGAGATGTGCCCCATTGTTGGGTGGTTGTTCGTTAAGGGGCCAGGGAGCATGGTGTGGGAGTGCCCCATTTTTGGGTGGCTGTTCATTGAAGTGCCAAGGAGCATGGTGGGGGGTCCCCCAAGCTACACCTGCTTTTCTTCTTGAGGTTTCTGCACGTACAGTTCAGGCTCCCCGAGGCTCAGGTGCAAGGCTGTTCTCCTAAGCACATGACCTTGCCACATCCCTCCTGATTCCTGCACTGTGTAGGAATCCTGTCTTGTGTTTTGATATATGTAATGTGGGTTTCAGGACCAGGATGAGTGATCCATGAGGCTTTCAGGAAACCTCTTCTCACTCTGAGCCTGGACTTTTCCAGAGTCTCCGACTCAGGATTCTGATGTTGCTTTTTGGCATTTTGAGGAGTAGGTACAGATATGAATGAAGGACAGCTAATGGGAGACTTTGAGATCGACTCCAAACAGCTTGAAGCAGAGTCCTGGAGCCGGATAGTGGACAGCAAGTTTCTGAAACAGCAAAAGAAAGACGTGATCAAACGGCAAGAAGTGATTTATGGTGAGACTCCTCATCTTCCTGTGCTGACAGTTGATTTGCATTTTCCAGTATTTTTGTTTAGTTAGTAGTTGAACTATGGGAAGTTAATTTTCAAGGAGCTTTGTAAAGATTTTCTCTAGAAACTTTGTGGGATGTGGTTTTATCTCTGTCTTCCTCTCCCTTCCTACCTCTTCCCTTAATTTTATTGACCGTTTTATTTACATTTAAGTGCTTATTGATGCAGCAGCCCTAGAAAGAGACAGCTCTGGGAGCGCAGTTTAGTTCCTCACCCACACCAGAAACTAGACACGGTTCCTTTCCAAGGATGTAGTAAAACATGAGGGATGCTGGATCCTGTGAACGCTTCTTTGGAAACCACATTTAAGATTCATGGAATCCAGTACGCCTACTTCATAAATTAGCGTTAGGTCAAATAGAAAATAGAGAAGGACGTTAAGAATGCTTTTATGGGGGAAAAAACAGCTGCTGGCCCATGTCAGTTTAACATGTTGCCGCGAATGACGGTAAATGTGTCTCTAAGGACGGTCGTCAATTTAAAAGTGTGCAGCAACTTGTTAAGTTGGGCTCTGAACACTCCTAAGACGGCAGCAGGGGCCCTGGAAGAGGAGCCTTGTGTGCGCATTCTGACGCCGAGCTTTGTGGTCCCCGCTCTAGAGCTGATGCAGACAGAGTTCCATCACATCCGCACGCTCAAGATCATGAGCGACGTGTACAGCCGGGGCATGATGACTGACCTGCTCTTTGAGCAGCAGATGGTGGAAAAGCTGTTCCCCTGTCTGGATGAGCTCATCAGTATCCACAGCCAGTTCTTCCAGCGGATCCTGGAGCGGAAGAAGGAGTCTCTGGTGGACAGAAACGAAAAGAACTTTCTCATCAGGAGAATGGGCGACGTGCTGGTGAACCAGGTAAGCGGTGAGGCGGGGCTCTGGTTCCGTAGGTGCAGCCGGAGAACATGAACCTTTGGCGTCAGGCAGCTGTGCGTTTTCATCCTGGTCCTTGGCAGCTAAGCTCACTCCCGTTAAGCTCCAGTTGCCTTTTCTGTATATTATGGGCCATGTTTTTGCCAGTTCACAGGAGTGCACATACAGAGTACCTAGCGTATGTGGTAGATAGCCTGTAAATGTTCATTTTTCTACCTCAGAATTTATACCTTCATCAGAAGCAATGTAATTTAAGGTAAAGGAATCGAAGAAATTAGGATTTTTTTTGTTCCAGGTCTCAACAACTTCTTCTCTCTCAAAAAAGATTCCATTTGCTTGAAACCACTTGGAGCCTAACAAGTTGAAAAGATACTAAATGCTTTAACACACGTACCTCAAGGACAGTCCACCCTGAAGAGCAATGGTCAACTCTATTAAAGAGAACTTTTCCAGATATTTCTCTTTCTCTCTCTGTTCCCCCTCTTTTCGCCCCATCTACACCAGTACCTATTTCATCTAACCTTGACCTCCGTTATGCCTTTTTAAAGTCCTTGATGTGGGATTCACGTAGCCCATTTAGTAATTCTTTGTGCCAGTGCCAGGGTCAAGCCTTAGTGGGTACCTGTTTTATGCTGTCAAGAGATTACATAAAGTCTCCTTGCCTTGCCATCTCCATTGGTAATAGAGGCAAAGAAAAGCTGCCTTATATCTTGCTTCAGGTTTTTGCGAAGATCAGTTGAGTTTACTCCAAAGATTTTCAGTACAATTTGACTGTGTCATGTGAACCACAAGCAGAAACTCCTCGATTTATGCCAAAATGAATGATTCTTCAAAAAAACTGTTGACTTTAAACATAGTAGAGAATGACAAGTGCCATGTATAATTCACTTTTTTAAAAAAAATTCTTATTCGTTGCACTTTTTTTCCCTTCTCTCTTCCTGTACCCTCCACCAGTCCACTTTGCATAATTTTAAGACTATTGCCCTGAGGTAAATGGGATTAGGTAAATGTTTTTAGAAATGAATGTCTCATGAAAACTCAATGAGTCTCTGTCTTATCTTGCTATCATTATCACAAATGAAAGCACCTTTATATCTCTTGCATGCAATACAAAGATATTTCTGTAAATTTATACACACTTGTTTGTGTGTTCTTATTCATTGGGATGGTTGCACAATTCCGTGAATATAAACCACTGACTTATATCCTTTAAATGAGTGAATTTATGACGGCATATAAATTACGTCTCAATAAAATGGTTTAGAGAGAGAAGAGAATATTGCTGATCACTCCAGAAAGCAACCATCCACCTTTATCCCTAATTTCCCTGTCTCCTCATGCTTCCCCCCAGTACAGCCCCGAAACTACTTTTCTTTATGGATTTTTGTGTGTTCTGAGCGTTTCAGGTACATGTTGTTAGTACCATCTAATCCACTGGGGTTCACAGCAGGCTTACCACCCGCAGATCTAAAGCTGACCCTGTCCTGCACCGTCCTCACCGTGTCTGACACGCTCAAGCTCAGTCTTAGAGTCAGTAGTCAATCCTTGTCAAGGTCTCCCTCACTTTCTCTAACCCTCCACCTTTCCCGACATGATGTCTTTTTCCAAGTGCTGGTCCGCTCGGACAACATGCCCAAAGTATGTGAGAGGAAGTTCACCATCCTTTCCTCCTGGGAGCACCCTGATGGCGCTTCCTCCAAGTTCTCCTGACAGTATGGGGATTTTTAGTACTGTTCCTCAGCACCACAGCCCAGTGGTATTGATTCTTCTGTTATCCTATTCATGGTCCATCTTTCAGATGCATAAGAAGCATTTGGAAATATCGTGGCTTGGCTCAGGCTCACCTTGGACTTTAAACTGGCATCTTTGCTCTTTAGCATTTTGGAGAGATCCTTAAGAGCATTTTCCCAGTGCAACACATCTTTTGATTTCTTGACTACTGATACCATAAGTATTGATTGTGGATCTATGTAGATAAAACATTACCAACTTCAAACTTTTCTCCATCTGTGATGATGTTGCCTTTTGATCCAGTGGTGCGGAGGTTTTGTTTTGGACTTTTTCCTTGATGTTGAAATGTTAATAGAATTATTATAATATGTGGTCTTCAGTGACTGACAGCTTTAACTTAGCATGTCTTCCAGCTTCATCTGTGCTGTAGTAAATAGCCACATGTTGGGGTTTTTTTAAAACTGACAATCTCTGGTAAAGATATAGGTGCCCTAGTGGCACATTATGTATTGGGCTGCAAACTGAAAGGTCAGCAGTTCAAATCTACTAGGTGCTCCATAGGAGAAAGATTGGCTGTCTCCTCCTGTAAAGACGTGCAGCTTCAGAAACCCAGTGGAGGGTCTTCATGAGTCAAGACGGACTGACAGAAATGAGTGTTTTGTAGATCTTGTAAATTACACTTTCTTTTCTTTTATCTGTTGATTGGTTAGTAGAAATTTGTATTTCCACTTTGTGGCTATACCAAATAAAGTTGCTTTGAACATCACTTTGCAAGTTTTGAACCTGTTTGACTTGAGTATATAACTTAGAGTGAAATTGTAGATCCTTATGGTAAGTCTATCTTTAACCTATTGAGGAACTTGTAGACTGTTTTCTAAAGTGAATATATCAATTTTTTTTATTCCTAATAACCATTTATGAGGTGGTAAGGTTTTACTTTTGTTAAGGGACCTATACAGGGGCACTCCTGACTTAAACAGGTAGACTCGGATCCTTTTGTTAAGTGGTTCATAGACTAGGAGTATAGGTTTTGGAATGACTGTGGTTTTTCTGTTTTTACAGTTTTCAGGTGAGAATGCAGAACGCTTAAAGAAGACTTATGGCAAGTTTTGTGGGCAGCATAACCAGTCTGTAAACTACTTCAAAGACCTTTACACCAAGGATAAGCGATTCCAGGCCTTTGTAAAGGTATTAATGTGGAAATCCCCGCCGTGTGTCAAAAACGATGTGTTGCCCTCGGTTTTAGCTGGAGCCTTCTCCCTCCGGTCATTCTGACAGGGTTTTCTCTCCCTATAGAAGAAGATGAGCAGCTCACTAGTGAGGAGGCTGGGAATCCCCGAGTGCATATTGCTCGTAACGCAGCGCATCACCAAGTACCCGGTCTTATTCCAAAGAATCCTGCAGTGTACCAAAGGTGGGTCTGCCTTTGTGCTCAGTCGGTGGGCCACCGGGCTCAGCTTCCTGTCTGTCCAGTGGCACAGGAGACTCCTTCATAAGAATGTTTTCGTCCCCTTCTAAGTAAAAAAAAAAAAAAACCAACTTGTATTTCATCCTAAAATCAATGTTCTTCACGAAAAATGTCAAATGTTCTGTCACCAAGTGTCCTGCAAATGATAACATCAAAGGAGGGACACGTATTGATTCTGTCAGAGTTCAGTGACTCAAACCTCTTCTTTATAGCCTGATGGATAATTGCCGCCCTCCTGCCAGAAACATAAAAAATACTTTGCTTTTTCTCCCACTCTGCATCCCCAAAAGTGTTTGATTTCTATTTTAGTGTGTAGTTGAATGTTGTATGAAACTCCTCACTTTTTAGACTTAAAAGTTGTGTCAGGAGTGGAGAGCATTATGCTAAGTGAACTAACTCAGTCCCATAAGGACAAGTACTGTGTAAGACCATTATTGTAGAACGTGTATGAGGATCCAGGGTGCCAGTAGAGGGCTGAGGATGGGGGTGGCGGGGGTAATCATAAGGTCACACAGTTTAATGAGTGGAGTAGGGAGAGGTGGGTAAAAGAAACTGGAAGGATCTAGTGTGAAAAATAATGTATACTAACTTTGTAAGTAAACCAGTATTAAAAAAAAAAGTTACCGGTATAGCATAACCCCCAAGAGAAGGTGATGAAGGTATGGAGTGAGGAAGCAGGAGTCCCCTCTGAAAAGGGACCCGTTAAAAATGGAATTCTTCTCCCCTCCTAAGATAATGAAGTGGAGCAGGAAGACTTGGCACAGTCACTGAGTCTGGTGAAGGATGTGATTGGAGCCGTAGACAGCAAAGTGGCAAGTTACGAAAAGAAAGTGCGTCTCAATGAGATCTATACAAAGACGGATAGCAAGTCGATCATGAGGATGAAGAGTGGTCAGATGTTTGCCAAGGAGGATTTGAAACGGAAGAAGCTTGTGAGGGACGGGAGTGTATTTCTGAAGAACTCAGCAGGAAGGTTGAAAGGTAAGGTTTGTCTGTGTCTGAATGTGTACTTGAGAAGGATAAAATCCACGTGGTAGAAATCTGAACTGTGTCAGTAAACCAGTATAAAATTAAAAAAATAATAATAATTTTAAAAACCACAAAGAGGTACCATCTTACTCCAGCTTTTTCCTTAGAAAGCCCATATTCCAGAATTACAAAGGAGCAACAATCATTTAATTATTCTTAAATCTCACATCTAAAAGGATTGTGTAGGTTAGCTTATAAAATCATATAAAACATGTTAAGAGTCAAGAAAAATGGTTCAATCGAGGAACTCTGACGACACGGTTCATAGTGTGTTGTGTTACTCACCAAATGAAAACAGTGCAAACAAGAAAGTGGAAATAAGATTTAACATAATTTTTTTTTATAAAGGAAATAAACTTAATGTGAAAACAAAGTGTTAAAGCCTATTCATTCTCCTGTGAGTACAGATTTGAAATTGAGGTCTCTCTGGCAGAATAATCTAAGGAGAAATACACAGTTACACAGTTGACAGAATCTGTTAGATTAATGGGAGTGTCTGAGTGGTTAACACCCATAAGTGCAGGTTGGTGTGATTCCAAGTCTCTGTGATGCCCATAACAGGGAGGTAATCGCACATGGTGTGGTAAGTCTTAGAATCAAGGTGTGCATTGGCTGTCAAGGGAGCTCTGGGGGCCAAATCTGTAGGAGTTGCTCTGCCAGCCCAAAGTCACACCTCTCCCGTGGTTGGAGTTCAGCAGCAGCCCCTCAGGACAAAGACGGAGGACACATCTCCAGCATGAGTTACAGCTTTGGAAACCAAGTGAGGGGCAGCTGTGATTGGTTCCATCCTGACAGTGGCGAGTGGGTGGGCAGCAGGAGAAGCCACCTTCTAAAGACTTTATTACAAGATGATGAGCTTTGAGCTACCTTAAAGGGTGACGACGAGGTTGCCAGTCAGAAAGAGAGAGAGCGTGTTCCAGGCGGTGGGAGGAAAGGTGCAGACCTCAGCTTTGAAAAGGTCTGACAGTGCAGAGAGGGAGGCCCAGCAGCTGACTCAGACAGGCAGATGGGAGTGATGACTAAACAGCTTGTGCCGGGTACACCCTGCAGACAAAGATTCGCACAGTCGACACTGTTGATGCCTGCTAGTTGCTGTGAAGTCACTTCCGGGTCCTGTCTTCCTCACATGATGCAGAATAGAACTCCATAGTGGTTTTTGAGCGGGAACCTCTTAGGACATTATCACCTGTTCTTCCCTGGGTGTCTTAGGTGGCTATAGAGCTCACTGTTGATAGGACAGGGTGAAGAATGGGTTCACAGTGGAGAGCTTGAAGTAGAAAAGGGATAAATTTGGTTTTTAATACAAAGACTGGTAGATTTTAGAGGTAGAGGAGTATTAACAAGCTGGTGGCAGAGCAAACTAGAGAGTGAGCAGATGAGCTACAGTGCCCCCGTCAGGTGTCACTGAATCATGACAGCCCAAGTGGGTCAAAACAGAACTGCTCCACAGTTTTTCACAGCTGATTTTTTTCAGAAACAGATTTCTGGCACTTTTTTTCCTGACACACTTCTGAGTGAATTTGAACTTCCAGCCTTTCTCTAGGAACCACCCTTTTAACTGTTTGCACCACCTGGGGATTTCTGCAGCACTAGGGGCCTAGCGGTGAGGAGCTGTGCTGTCAACCCAGAGGCACACAGTTCAGCCAGCTGCTCCACGGAAGAAAGATGAGCAGTCTCCTGTGCGATTTACTACCTCTGAAACCCACTCAAGGCTCAGATTATGAGTCAGTGCCAGCTGAATGGTACACAACAAAAAGTACGTGAGAAGTTTGGCATTTCCTCAAAAAGTTGAACATAGAAGCTCCATATGACCCTGCTATTCCACTACTAGGACTATACCCCAAGGAAATTAGCACTGAGACACAAACGGAGATTGGTACACCAGTGTTCATAGCAGCATTATTCACCATCGCAAGAACATGGAAACAGGCCGGATGTCCAGCCACGATACAATGGATTGAGAAATTATGGTACATTCATATGATGGAATACTATGCAACTCAAGAACCACGATTTTGAAAAATACTACATAACTTGAGAGAGACTGGAGAGCATTATGCTGAGGGAACTAAGTCTCATTAGAACAAATACTGCATAAAATCATTCTTGTAAAAATAGAAGGATGACTAGTAAAACATGCATGGGGGACCCAAGTGGGGATGCCATGGGAGCAAAGGGATGAGGATGGGGAGGGACAGAACCACAGGGTTGCACAGTTTGGTGGGTGGAGGAGGAGGTGAAGGAAATGGGAAGGATCCGGCAGACCTGAAAAGACAGGGTAATAGTGGGTATAAGTCAGTGGTGATTAATTTTATAAAATATAAAACATAATGCATGAGAATGGTTGTATAAAACACAATGTGAATAAAGAATGATGTGATACACAATGTATACAAACTTTGTAAGCAAACAAATATAAAATAAACTTTTTAAAGTACATGAGAAAAAAAGAAATGCAGGAGAAACTCAAAGAAAAGAAACATCTCTCTGCCACCAGCCAGCCGGCTATGTGTGTGCTTCACTGCCCCATGGTTGTCCTGCACTAGAGGATCCCGGTACTCCTCTTCCCAGCTCTGCCCCATGACCTTCTGGGAGCCCGGGAGCCCTGCTTCTCTTTCCACTCTGCCACTCTGAGGCTGGCAATGCCAGGGTGCCTCCTCTTTCTCATAAGGACCAGGGCTTCCTCGAGCTGCTGCCGTGGAGCCAGCATTTTATTCTTCCCTTTACACAGCAGTTTGTTTATTCGTCCTCAAAATAAAAACTAATCAATTCCAGCTGTTGGAATAATGCTGCGGTCAAACCAATGGCAGAATGGTAGGGTTTTCTGGCCCGAAACGGCTCCACTGGAGATAGGCGTGGTGGTTAGTCATTTTCACCCCAAGTGAACTCATGCCAAGAACAGCCAGTACTGTGTTGGGTACCCTTTGAAAGGGGTGGGATTGTTTTTCTCTGGGCCACTGACACTGATCATATAAACTTTAGGGTCCAATGGAATTGAAACTTGTCTTTTCAGACTCTTTTTTTTGGCAAGCACCTGAGTTAGTTCAAAGTAAACTTTAGAAAAATAAGTCATGGTAGTACGTGGAAAATTACTGTGGTCTAGGCTGGAAAGTTAGACCTTCCTAGGAACAAGACACTCTCGCCTCTGTTTTTTTCATAACTTTGCAAAGATTTCCACAGAATAGGCATCACGGTTACGACAGAGGTTGCCAAAGAAGCCAGGAGGAGCCTGGACCGCCTAGGAGTAGGTTCTGTTCTTCTAAGAATATGTCAGTTCCACTTTAGAAGTGAGGAATATAACGTGGGGGCCCTACAAGATCAGAATTAACCACCAGCCTCGAGAGGTGCCAGACTCTGCCCGTAAGGGAGTGTGAAAAATGTCACTTCATGCTCAGAAGTAGTAGTCAGCCTGAGCTGTGGAATTCTTTCTTGATTTGTGGATCCCACTGGAGATGTGAGTTTGGTTTTATGAAAATTGGAGGCCGTTTCCCTGATGTAGGGAGAATGAGGTTGGCTGTTGAGGGGGAAGAGAACCACTTGATGTGGATGCGGGAATCCGAGGGCCTTTTGGGAGCTGGACACCTGTCTTCCTTTATTAGATGCCGGTGTTCTTACATGTCGGCTTTCTGGTTGATTGTGCCACACCTTTCCCGTTGCTGCTGTCAGACCATGAGAGATACTGTGACATTAGTATTTTTTGGAGTTTTTGTTGTCTAACATCTGCCGAAGTTCAACTTTTAGAGTGTTTTCTTACAGGAAATAAATATCCAGAACTTTCCTCTATCAAAATATGCATGATGAATCCATTTTTAAAATGCTCTTAAAAAAAGGTACTAACCAGGTCTGGATCCTCTAGAACTTTAGGACTGTTGTGGTGGGAGTGTGGATTGAGTGTAATCTCTCAATTTGTCCTTAATGCAGTGCTGAATGATTCATTAATTGAGACCCTATGGACTGTGCTTAACGGTGGTTTTTAAGTAATTTTTCTTTCTCCCCACTCCCCATTTCCACTTTTAGAAGTTCAAGCCGTTCTACTCACGGACATTTTAGTTTTCCTTCAAGAAAAAGACCAGAAATATGTCTTTGCATCATTGGTAAGCTGACATGTTACTCCTTTGTGTTTCTTATTAATAGTATAAAAAATAGTTAAATATGGCATCTAAACAGTAATATTGCCCCTGCCCTCATCAAAATGAAACTGAAACAAGACAAATAGCTCTGAGTAGTTCCTTTGACACCCTGCTCCTTACTCTCCTGCCACCAAAGTCACCATATTTTGGTTCCCTCCCAGTGTCTTGGGCATTTGACAGTTTGATAAAGAAGACTCTTAGCACTTGAGCCCTTCCTGAATATTGTTGTTGTTGATTGCCATCGAGTCAAGCACACTTCAGCGACTCTATGAACAAAAGACCTAATGCCTTTCCATAGCTATCGTAATTTCTCCAAGTTCATAGAGTTTCCAGAGGCATGTGGTTTAGGAATTGCATGCTACTCCTGCTTCCAAACCCATCTTTCAACTGGGAGCTCCACCAAATACTGTCCACAATGGGAAGCCATTATGATATTTGATACCCCAGTGGCACAAGGTTCAGCATCACAACAAGCCCAGGTTACTTCACACAGCACAAAGATTGATGTGCAGAATGGAAGAGTGTTCCTCCAGATGCTAATCTCATTTAGCAGTGGTTAAATGTCGTCAAGTTGAATACGATTCAGAGTAAACTTTGCACAAAAGACCTGAACTCTGTTCTGTAACTAGCATCATTTCTGTACATTTATAGAGTTTTGAGAGTTTGTAGAGTTTGCAGAGGCATCTAGTTTAGGAAGTGGAAGCCTCTCCTGCTTCCTAGCATTACTTAATCTGGAAGCTCATCCAAATATTGTACATAATGGGTAACCATTATGGTATTTGACATGACTGTGGAACAGTGTTCAACATCACAGCAACTCCAAGTAGTTCAGTACAGCAAATAGACAAACGATTGCTGTGTCATTTAAAGAATATTCATTCTAAAATTAATGCATTTGGCCCAAGGGTCACAGTCCTGAGTTAGGTCCCATAAATCACACACACTCAGATTATTGCTGGCCCGAGACTCTGGGCAGATGGAAAGGCTTTCTCCTTCCCATGCAGGATTCCCATTCTCAGGCTTTCTGCATGACGAAGAACCTTTATAGCCACAAATTATCCTTTCCCTGTTGGAAATCTTTCTGCTTGATGAATCTTAATAATTTGGGTTATCTCTTTGTCTAGTAGATACCATTGATCATTTGTTAACACGGGGTCTTTGAAAACTGTAGGTTCTTACCTTAGACTGAAGTCGTTAAGAGACCTGTAGACGTGTCTTAGATCTGCCATCTCTGCATTTTCCAGGACCAGAAGTCAACAGTGATCTCTCTAAAGAAGCTGATTGTGAGGGAAGTGGCTCATGAGGAGAAAGGTTTGTTCCTGATAAGTATGGGGATGAAAGATCCCGAGATGGTGGAAGTCCACGCCAGCTCCAAGGAGGAACGGAACAGCTGGATTCACATCATCCAGGACACGATAAACATCCTGTGAGTTGGCTCCAGGGCCCTGTCTTCCCAGGACCTTCCCCTGCTTCATGGCCATTTCCTGAGAGTCTGGACGAGGACCAGAGTAACTCACATCTCAGGACTTTATGTTCTGGTTTTGTCATTTTAGGAACAGAGATGAAGATGAAGGAATCCCTAGTGAGAATGAGGAAGAAAAGAAAATGTTGGACACCAAAGCCCGAGAATTAAAAGGTGAAGCTGTTAGAAATGGTCTTAATGCAGTGGTTTCCAGAGTTGCTTGGTATCCCTCAGCCCCAGGACTATCCCAGCAAACACTCAAAATGATGAAATGGGGCTCTTTTAACAAAAGGGAGATCCCATCTAAACCAGCATGTGCTCTGAGAACAGGCCCTGTCAGGATGTGTCTGCACCAGATGCTCTTATCTCAACAGCAGTGATCTTGAGCCTTGGTGACACGGTACTGTATGTCCTAGAAAAATTAGCCCACATGTTTGATCATATCCAAGATTAAAATAAGAAGTAGAGAAGGTATTTGAGGAAGAGTTCTCCATTTAACCTGTTTTAAACCCCCTCTCAATCCTTGGTTTTATTCATTAGCCCCTGCCACAGTTCCATGATTTTTGAGGTGTTTCAGAGAGAAGTGTACTTAGTGATCGCAGTTAGCCACTATATTTATGTTTATTGAGCATCTCTTATTTTTTATGTAGTCTTACCAAAATTCCTGCCAGCTGCTCTTACCCCACTGTACAGATGAGGGGCCATGTGCCCTGGGTCCCCATGTCTGGTTGGCAGCAGAGCCACAGTTCTCACCCCTTTTTGTAAATGGCAGGGATTCTTCTTTGCTGAAGGAAGGCCTACTTTTGGTCAAGTCACCTAAGGCCCATAGTCAAATAAATACAATCACCCAAGTTTAGTTAGTTAGTCCTTCAAGCACTACAGTGATTTCTTTGTTTCTAATTCTAACACTGGGAAAAAAACCACATTGAATATTTAGGCTAGTGCAAATTACTTTGCATTTATTGTAAAATTTCTTTCTTTTCTTTTTTTTTTATTGAGCTCATCCCTGTTTGGTTAAGCTGTTTTGGAAGGTCTGTGTTGAGGGGTTTTTTGATGGGTTGTTTTTTCATGGGTTTTTTTAAAAAAATTGGTTTGCTTACAAAGTTCAGTATACATTGCGTTTGACACTGTTCTTCATTCACACTGTGTTTCATACAATCATTCTCATGCATCATGTTTAATAGAATCAAAACGTCTTTCTTTTAATGTTAGTGAGCACCTAGCCAGGCATACCACAGGTGCTAGGGATGCAGGGATTCCTGCCCTTGGAACGCTCCCAGGAAAGACGTAGAAGGTGAGGACAGAATGGTTTTCTGCTGTAGTGTGAGGCCCTCTCGTCCTGCCTGGGTTAAATCTTCCTCAGAAGCTGACGAATGAACTAAACTGGAATACATTTTTTCAGCAGACAGAAAGAAGATGTGTAAAGGTGGGAAAAGACCTGACATTTCTGCCTGAGCCTGACAGATGTGATGGGTCTAGAGCTGGGACTAAGCACTGGGACATTAAGGTGGGAAACCACCAGCCTCAAAAGGCAGCAGAGGGTAGGAGTATAAAATGGGGCAAACCATTCTAGAAGGCATTTTGGCCACTTCCTCAAAAGGTTGGAAATAGAGCTACCATTTGACCCAGCAGTTCCACTACTGGGAATATACCCTAAAGAAACCAGAACCATCATCCAAACAGATGTGTGCACACCCAAATTTATTGATGCATTATTCACAATAGCAAGGAGACGGAAGTAACTCAGGTGCCCATCCGCAAACAAATGGATAGAAAAACTGGTACATTCATACGGTGGAATACTACACAGCACTCAAAAATAAGGAACTCATAAAACACTACACAACTTGGGTGACCCAGGAGAACATTATGCTGAGTGAAATATCTCAGTTACAAAAGAATAAATAATGCATAACAACACTTATAAAGCAGGACTGACTTGAGGCATTGGGAGATGAACAGGAAATGAGTGGATAGTATATGAACATTGCATTGGAACATACGAAAGAACGAACTGGTTAAAAGGAATATATAATTAGGTGTTACACGTATGACAGCAGTCCAGAATAAAAGGTGCATTGCAAAGAGGACTAGGGGAGAGAGGAAATTATGCAATAATTAATAAATATTTTTTTAAAAAAGTGTACTGTGGGAGGAAGGGGGTGCAATGTGCAACAATGAATGAATGAATGAATATCAAACTTGTGTAAACTTTCATTAGAATTAAAAACTTTATTGTTAAAAAATAAGGCAGCAGAGAGCTTCTGCAAGACTTTTCTCAGAAGGATACTAGACATTTTTTAAAAGAGAATTTTAAAAAATTAATATTGAGTGGTTCAAATTGGGAGAATCATTTTAGAGGCTAGGGGAGAAACTTGGAGGCCTATCAGTCAAGTATCTGAGAAATGGGTCTAAAGGGACTAGATCTGAGTTGAAACTAAGGCCATCTGGCCTGATAAATTGGGTATGAGTGGCCAGACAGCAGGAGGAATATACTCCCAGATGTCTAGCGTGAGTAGCCTGGCAGAGGATGGTATCATCAACCTGGGAAGAGATCGGACGCTGAAGAGGAGGTGGGATGGCCAAGGTAGAGGACAGGCTGGTTTGAAACATGCTGAGAATGTGACATTGAGTGGAGAAGGCCACTGACCTTTGACACAGTGCTCTGCACCCCCACCCCACCTCTAAAGGAAACCAAACTAAGGGGAGATTCAAGTGTTGTTTTGTGCATTAGCATATGTGAGGCCACTGGAGCTGTGAGGGGGCATGAGATTCCCCCAAAGGAAAATAAGGAAAGTGAGAAGACAGCCCCTGGTGGAAGCTGAAGGGAGCCCTGCTCTTGTCCTGCAGATGGCTGATCTGTCACATGTTCTGAGAAGGCTAACAGCAAGACAACAGTGATGCTCCCAAAGGCAGGAGGAAAATCACTTCAAAAGGAGAACCTAATCCTCAACTTACCTACCATGGAAAAATCAGTTGTTACAAGCTTGTAGAGACCGCTGTGCTCCAGCACACGGCGGTGACAGGCCTGACTTGATAGTCTGAGTATTTTCTGAGGGGGGGAAACAAACAAGTACAGACTTGCCAGATGTATTGTTATCTCTGAACACAGCTATTTGCCTAGAAAGATCCAGGGTAGTTTTCTGGTTAGAAATTACCGAATAAATTATAGCTAGATACTACATAGATTTGTTTGTTGTTGGATTTGGAAAACTATTTTCAATTTTGTCTCTTTCCACATATTACCACAAGGTGGCGGTCACGTACTAGTCATCGTGTAATGTTCTTAAAATCCTAAAACGTCTTCACCCCCCTTACAGAACAGCTGCAGCAAAAGGACCAGCAGATCCTCCACCTACTGGAAGAGAAGGAAACAATTTTCCGGGACATGACAGAATGCAGCACTCCTCTGCCAGAGGATTGCTCCCCAACCCACAACCCTCGAGCCCTCTTCCGCTCCAACACAGAGGAGGCTCTCAAAGGAGGACCTCTGATGAGGAGTGCAATAAATGAGGGTAGGTCACGTTCAGCCTCCCGGGGAGCAGTGTCTTCCCAACGTGGTTTCCAAGCTAACACTATCCACCAGCTTTTACATTTTCACTGTAAAATAAAATACAGATGCAAAAAATTACCTAAAACAAAGGTATCCCTTAGAAAATTATTATCAAGCGAGCGAGCATCCCATGTAACCAGTATCAGATCAAGAAGTAAAATGTGTCCAGCCATGCTCAGAGACCTTCCAGGTACCCTGTCCCCCAAACGCCCATCTTTCAATAGGGATGGGTAATATGCCCCATATGTCCTTTTTTGTCCGTATAGTTTATCTTTGGAGACTGACTGTTTTGACCAGTAGATCTCCAGTCCTGACTTCATTCATGTAGCAGTTCTAGAGCCTGAAGGATTGGCTTCCCCTCAGCAGCACATCCCTCACACCAGCATTGGCATTTGCGCTCTTGCCACGTGTCTTATCTGTGTCCCCAGCCAGACTTCAGTTCTCTGGAGGCGTGCTTACTTACTGTCCCAGGCCTATTATGCAGAAAGAGAGTTGCTGGTGGCTTAGTGGTAAGAAATTGCACTACCAGCTTAAGACAATGAGGTTCAAATACAGCAGCTGCTCCTCAGAATAAAGATGGGCCATCTCCTCCCATGCAACATACCGCCTCCGAAAACCCCCTGGAGGGGGGTCTCCAGTAGAAAGCTCACATGGCAAGGTTCCTAATATGTACCATTGGAATCAGTGAAATACTGAACAGAAATCTGTCTAAAATAAAAAATAAAAGACAAAATCTTTCTCTTTCTCATTTATGTATAGATTAATATGTAGATAGTCATCAAACCCTATTTTATTACTGCTTAATAAAAATCCATTGATTAACCAACATTTATGTATGCCTTGTCCAAGTGTTATGAAAATTTTGGGAAGCACCGGAAAGTAGATAGAAAATCTTTTTTTCTGCAGGACCAGCCCCTTAGGATCTAGAAGCTAGTTCTTATGTGGGCTTTGGCTTCAGTATTTTTTCTGTTGTCCTTTATGACATGAGGTTCTTCCATTCGTAGGCTTAGTTCACATCTTAGGGCTCCAGGCATGTCGGTGTAGCTTCTGAACAGATGGTGGCTTCATTTGTGAGGTTCCTGGGCTCTTATGTCCCGGGTGCTCCATCTGAATCTTCTTCCCTCTTCTCCATTGCTCCTGTCCTTCTGAGTTTTTATCTGCTGTGGGAACCTTGGGCCTCTCTAAAGCCCTGCCCTAACAAAGACCCCTTCCTCATAAACAAGACCACAGATGCTGCAACCGCAGCTCCTTGAAGTCACTGTTGAGCCAGGGTAAGAATCGTAATCAGTTTTAACTGCTGTTCACACACTTACGTGCCCTGGTTTCCAAGAAATACTTGTTAGTTACTCCAGAAGACATGTTTATTTCAGTAACTCATTCTCCCTTCACCATTTTATTTCACAGTTTCTTGGGCCTAATATAAGTATATAAGGCTAAAAGTGCAATCTTTGCATTGTCAGTAGAATCCAACTAAAATATAAACCCAGAGCTGAGATGCTTCCCTGAGTATAAAGCACTCACTCAGTCAGTCACTCTTGGAACTTGCCAATCATGCGTCCCATACATCTCATGGGTTACTACAAGGTTGGTTTTCTTATTGAAAGATCAGATGTCAGTTTGTCTGTTTGGTTTTTTCCAGTGGAGATCCTGCAGGGCTTGGTGAGTGGAAGCCTAGGGGGCAGCCTGAGCCCGGCCGTCAGCAGCCCTATGGAGCAGGAAGGCACGGTTGGCCCTGTCTCCTTGCCCCGGAGAGCAGAAACCTTCGGTGGATTTGACAGTCACCAGATGAATGCGTCAAAAGGTAAATGAGTTTGTGTGCTTTTACCAGTAATCCTTGACTAACATCAACAAGTTAAAAAGTGATCTTTATGTTAATGACCCCCTTCCCTCTGCCCTGTTCAATCAGTAAATGCTTTAGTGACCTTCAAGCATATATATGGCTGCTTTAAAACATTGAGGAACCTTCAGTCAGGTATAGTTCGAGCAATGACAAAGACTGGCATGGGATTTCCACAAAGCTGTAATAATATTTGTTTTTTTCTCACTGCTTCTAGTTCTTCTACATCAGTAAAATTAGTACTAGTAATCATTTACCTATCATGAGATGTCTTTCTTTTCTGACATTATAATGTTGTTGTTATTAAGTGCTCTTGAGTCAGAACTGACTTGTAGCTGGCCCTTCAGCAGGTTTTCAGGGGCTGTAAATTGCCTGGGAGGAGACTGCCTATCTTTCTCCTCAGAGCACCTGGTGGATTCGAACTGCATACTTTTTGGTTAGTGGCACAACTCCTCACCACTAAGCCATCAGAGCTCCCCTGACATTGTAATAAATTTCAGAAATACCATGCATCTAAGCTATTCCTTTTTTTGTTTTCTTCATGGCTAATCTGTTAGAACCTAACCAGAAAAAAATTGTCTGTGTGTGTTGATTTAGGAGGTGAGAAAGAAGAGGGAGATGATGGTCAAGACCTTAGGAGGACAGAGTCAGACAGTGGTCTGAAGAAGGTATTTCTCAAATATTCCATGGCCTTTTTGGCAACCCTTAGGAATTTACCATCTTAAAATTATTCCACTTTGATGTAGGTTAGTTGCCTGACTTGCTGTTTTTAATTCCTACTTTGTTTTCTGAGGAGAAGCACTTTTAAAAGAAAAAGTACAATTAAGGATTCCCTGTTTGTTAGCTCTTTGGCCTTCCTGGTGTGGAGGGCTGTGTTTACACATAGCTCTACCACAGCCTAGCAGTGGTACACTAGTGCTACACTTTATGAAGGGGCTTATTTTAAATGCTCCAAGCCAGCCTGGCGTCTTTACTGACTCTGTAACCATAAACCTGAAATCTTCATTATTCGAGAGGCCATAGTAGAAGAAAATGGGAAGCCACAGCATGCCTTTCGAGGCTCATTTGAATTTAAATTTTACATTATGATCTTTGGGTCTTTTAAATGAATGTTGTATTTGTTTGTTTTATAGGGTGGTAATGCTAACTTGGGCTTCATGCTTAAAAGAAACAGTGAGGTAAGGACATCATCTGCTATTTAAAAGAAGAGTGTCTTTTGTTGGTGGTGATTAGTAATACTTTTGGTTTGCAGTGGTGACTAAGATAACTTTTGATTTTGTTTTGTACCATTTCTTTACCTCTCCTCTTTGCTAGTCCCTGGGCACCACTGGAATGTGGCCAGTTAGTGTATTATCTGCTAAAATGGGCTTCGATTCTCATCTTTGAGACACCTTGCTTCAGCTTCTCCAAACAGTGGGCTGTGAAGCCTCCACATCATTTCTTTCAGGATAATGTGTCCCTTATAGAAGTTGTAGTAACTCTTCCGTGACACAAACCCAAAAGCTACAAGTCAGGACCAAGGGAAATTAACTTGTGGCTAATTTTGCATAATACTTTCTTAAGCTGCACAGACTCTGGAACTCTCTTCTTCGCAGACTGCTTTTTACCAAATACATGATTTAAGTCTAAAAGTAGCCTCTTGTTCGCCTTATTACGAATCAGACAGACTCTAATGAGCTGCATTTTCACCTCCCTCAGAATGAATCTCACTGATCCGCAGGATAGCTGCCCTTGATTCACACTTGTCCTCAGCTCTCCGTGATTTTTTTTTCTTGCTAAGTAATCTGGGTTACTAAACAAAACAACAAAAACCCACCAAAAACCAGCTGCTATGGATTTCCCCCGTCAGTGTCCTGATAGGTGTACGTAGAGAGAACTGCTCCATGGGACCTCAGCAACAGATTGCCAGGCTTGTCTTCCAACTTGCCTCAAGTGGATTTGAACTCCCAACCTATCAATTAACAGTTGGGCAGTTAGCTGTTTGTACCACCCAAGGACACACACACACACACACCCCCCAACCCTCAGCCAAGGCTACTTCTCTCAGGACTTATTTGGCTATAGTAGCTTTTCAGAGTGTATTTTTCAAAGCTGTTCTTTGTGTTTCTTCTTGCTTTTAACATATTATTGTAAGTCCCCAAAGAGCTTGGTTTTAAAATTTTAAATGAAGGGGTTCTTTCTTTCCCCCTCCCAGCAAAACAAAGAAAGATACTGTTTTGTAGTTATTGGTATGGAAGTCTAAATATTGTGATATCCTGAAGGATTCCCCTTCACTGTGTTCATCCATATATGAAATATACCTCGCCTCACACAGACTAAAATTTAACTGTTAGTTGATTTCTCCATTGGACAACTTCTTCCCGTACATTTAGTGAGAAGAGTAGGAGACCAATTTGTTCTTCAGGCATGTCAGAACAGATTATACACTAAAAATGATAAGCCAGAGTCAGTAAGTCTTCTGTCACTTCTTGCTCTCAGCTTATTAAGAATAAATGTAATGGAAAAATAAAAGGTTTTCTCCAAGGATCTTAGCTTGGCAACTAAGTGTTGTGGGGTTTTTAATTTTTTTAAAGCTTTATAGAAAGAATAGATAACATAGTACAAAATATAAGAACTGTCTTAAAATTAAAACTTTAAAAAGTAAACATACTCCCTGCCCTCAGTAATAATTACCATTCTCTATTTGCTGTTTACGTATCTAGTCTCTTTTTCCTACATAGCCTATCTTTGCATGTCTGAATTTATGAGTGAATAGTATATAAACCGTTTACACAGTTATCAATATTGCCTGGAGCTTTATAGCCCGCTTTTTTGTGTTCTCTTAAAAAAACACTGTAAGCCTTTCACCAGGTTATAGTTTTACAAAGCATATTGTTTAAAAGTATTATTATGTTGTGTACCTTGACTTAATTTTTCCAATAGTTAATTCCTTTTCTACTTTTTGCTTTTTAAATGATGCAGCCAAAAATATCCTTGTACATACATTTTTTTGCACAGCTCTTTATTCCCTCAACGTGCCAAATTACTCTAGAAAGGAGATTGTACAGTGTTTATCACTGCCTGTCAGGTACGAGCGTATCCATTGTCATCTGTGTTCACCAGCATTGACTATATTGCCACCTTTTATTGACTTTTTGTTGGTTCGATAACTTCAAATGCTATTTGTTGCTTTTCATTTCATTAATTTAAATAAGAGTGAGTTGTATTTAAATAGGTTTTGAATCCTTAATCTGTGGTATCACTTCCAAATTCCCTTATCTGTTTTTTACTAGTACATATATATCTGTTTTTCTTACTACTGATTCATGAGAGCCTTTTTAATTAAAGAATGTTATTTTATTTGACTTTCTGTCCAAGTTGACCTTTGCTGTTAAAAAAAAAAAGACAGCCCATTATTTCTTGCATTGTCTTTGTGTTTGAAAAACCTTTTCCATTTCAAGATCAGAAAACATTCTCTTATGTTTGGTTTTTTCCTGGGGTTCGTTCCTCTGTGATTCGCTTTTAACACGTTTCATTTAAATACATTCCACTGGGTGGGTTTTTTTCTGTGAAACAGGCTCTCAACTTAGTTTTCCCCAAAGATTTAGCTAGATTTCCTCAGAACAGTTTCGTGAACGGACTGTCCTTTTCTCTTAATTGGAAATGCAGCTTTTTTTCATGTAACGGATCCTTACATTTTTGTCTCTGAGGTTTTCTTCTATTGCATGGCTATGTTTGCCATTTTTGCGCCAGTCATTTTAAATGAAGTCTTACATTTTATAATACATGTGTGCTGGTGTTCTTCCGACACATTGTTTTGTTTGTTCCTTTGGTCTTTTTCACTTTTCTTGACTACCCATATTTGCTCATTTCCTTTGCTGATTTGAATTTGAAAGATTTCATTGAAATGCCAGCACCTTGCTTTATTTTAAGGATGTTATCTTGTCAAAATAAGACTCAGTGTAATGGTTTCCAAGAATCATACCTAAAATGATATCTCCATCTGAGTTTGCTTTTTTAATTTTTTTTTTTGCAGGTCATCCAGAGCATCATTCACCTTCATGAACTTCTTAGCACTTTGCAGGTACATAGATTACCTTTTATTCTTCCACTTACTGTTAGAGGAAAACAGTAAGGGAGTATTGTTGACCTAGATCGTTGAGGTTTACTGGATGATTAGAGTATGTGATGCCCTTCTGTGTGATTTACTGCCTCTTTGACTTGATTGATGGCACATAACAACCACCTTATTGGAGTAGAATTGATGAAACAAAATTGTTGAGTACAGATACTATTTGATAACTGTGCCACAAAGCACAGAGCCTATTAACATGCATATAGGAGATGGTATCAATCTAGAAAACTTTGGTATGATTGTACGTTTACATTTGCTATCTGTGTGCTATTAGCATGAGATGATAGTGAAGTCTGAGTCACTCCAGCAGATCCTGCCAACTACACCAGTTGTTGCACTCAGTCTAGGGGAGCTGAGACTACCCCTTTGGAAGGCAGATTGTGTGATGTGTAATAAATCCCACTCCACATGCCGGCTTCACCCTATGACTATCTCAGCATTACTTCCCCATCGGGTACTGATTATAGCTCCCCACGCAGCCTTTTTTCTCTTACATTATTAACCAGCTGGGGCCAGTTCCAAGTATCAGCCACAATCTTGAGTTTGTATAATTCCATTCACTTCAGACCAGCTGGTCCCCAGTTTGAGACTTTCCTGTATCCCCTTCAGGTACCAGCTACCTTAGGAAGCTTAAGAGTCCAGGCGACCCTCCAGTTGAGACCACTTGACCCCCATTACTGCACTGAGCCATCCTATAATATGCTAGAACATCTCTGAGTTCACAGGAAACACCATACCTATTAAGGTATGGTTTTTGTTAATGGTGTCTTATTAATTAATACAGCTCATGGGGTCGCTATGGGTTGTCTGCGACTCTATGGCACTTAGCAACAATAACAACAATTTAACAAAATAGAATGCATGAGTGGGTCCACGAGGGATCCCAGTGGAACACATTATCATACCAAGAGCAAATGTTCACTCTTGCTAGCCAGGAAGACCACCTGAGCCTCAGAGCTTTTCTCTGCCTCACTACAAGGCCACAGTAAATTGCATCCTGCCTCCAGAGGCTTGGGTGACCTTGTCCCAGGTGAGCTGTGGTGGTCAGGCCCCGTCATTAGCCTCTGGTACAGTCCAGCTCTCACGAAGCTAGAGCCCAAGGCCACATTGCATTCTGCACCTGACAATGGCCATCCCAAAGAACCGCTATTTAGTTCTTCTCAGAAATATTTACAGATCTCCTTATTTCCAAGATTATTGGTTTAGTTCATTAATTTTTTTTATTTGTGTGTGTGTGTGTGTGTGTGTGTATACACTGTCAAATAAGATCTAACTGGTACAGGAGGAGATTGTCCCTCCTTCTCCAGCAGAGCATCTGGTAGATTCAAACAGCGTGCCTCTGGGATTTGCAGTGCAGCTTCTTGTCACTAGGCCACCAGAGCTCCCTTATTGGTTTAATTCTTAAATTGATTCTTATACACTGTCATTTCTAGCTCCCCTGAGTGGCTCCTCAAGAGAAAGATGTATAATCTCTTCTGGTGTGATTTACCATCTCAGATACCCAGTGGACGGTCAGCTGAGTCTGTTCCAAGTTGAAGTTTTGAGTCACTTTCTGAACATACTCACTCCCTGTACCCCAAGTTAATGCCAAGGGCCTCAAACAGTATGTGGCTAAATTTTGCATAAAACTGGGCTCCTATAGGAGTATACCTTTGATAGGAAAAGGATGGACAGTATTCTACCATGTGATTCGTGGTACACAACAACAACATACCTTTGACAGGCCTCTTTGGTAAGTGCCAGAGTTACACTGAAACCTTTTTACTAAGCCACCTTTAGGCGTGAGATGGGAGTTGTAGTGTGTTCTGGTGTCTAGTACCCTCCTCCCCAGTCTGGACTCAGGAGGTTGACCAGGAGTTAGTGCTTACTCATCCTAGGCCAGAAGTGCATTTCTTTGGACCTCTGCATCTCTTCCCCAGGGTGTGGTGTTGCAGCAGGACAGCTATATTGAGGACCAGAAGCTGATGCTCAATGAACGGGCACTGAGCAGGAGCTCCTCCCGGCCCAGCTCCCTTGTAGAGCAGGAGAAGCAGCGCAGCCTGGAGAAGCAGCGGCAGGACCTGGCCAACCTGCAGAAGCAGCAGGCCCAGCACCTGGAGGAGAAGCGCAAGCGGGAGCGCGAGTGGGAGGCCCGAGAGAAGGAGCTGCAGGAGCGAGAGGCCCGCCTGGCCCAGCGGGAGGAGAAGGTGCAGCGGGAGCAGCAGGACCTGGAAAAGGAACGGGATGAGCTCCAGCAGAAGAAGGGCGCCTACCAGTATGACCTGGAGCGGCTGCGTGTGGCCCAGAAACAGCTCGAGAGGGAGCAGGAGCAACTGAAAAGAGACGCGGACCGACTCAGCCAGAGGCACATAGAGCAAGACGTGTGTCGGGTAATGAAAGGCTGTTTCCCCTGTGCAGCTGACTTCTCCCTGCACTTGAGAGCCAGGGCACAGAAAGGAGGAGTTTTCTTTCCCTTTTACTTGTTGGCTTCTTTCTCACCTATGTTAATTAAGAATCTTCTGTATGTTAAGCACTATAGAAAGCTAGCACCGGTAGGAACTTACACATACACACAAACACAGTTTTTTGTTTTATACTTAAAAGGGACCCAGAATGAATCTTTTCATCCTCCTTTGTATCTCTGGGAGGTGGATGAGGAGACTATATACCTGCAGGCTTTTGGCCAGGTAAGTTAACAGGCCTTGCAGCTGACCAGCACCTCCCACAGTCACTGTCAGCTTAGGCTAGAATACTCTTCAGTGTGGGTGAGCGCATGGGCCACCCATCTCCTCTGTGCCACATGAGAAATCTGGCGCGACCTTCACCTTAAAGGAACCTGTGGCCAGATGGAGGAACATAGCAAGGATAAAGAAACCCACAGCGCCCATCATCACCAGACAGCAGTAATCTCTCCCACCGGAGACCCCCCTCTGGAGGATCATTGGGCAGGCAGTTAGAGAGGGGAAAGCTCATCCTGATAAATGAGGGTCAGACAGCAACTCCTGAGAAAATGATACTTAGATATCTGTTTAATTCCTGATTTGCCATGCTCTTGTTAATGACAAGCCATGAGAACCAAAATATGGCCTTGAGTCGATCCAGCTTAAATTTAAAAACCGTCTCAAGGATAGCTTTGATGCACTGAACAATATTGACCAAAGGTCAGGTGAGTTGTGGGGTGACATCAACGATACCATCCATGAAGAAACCAAAAGCTCGCTATGGAGACAAAGGAGAAAGAAAGGTCAAAATGCACTATTGTTGTTGTTACCAGGTGATGTTCAGTTGTGTACCCCTTACAGTGACCGTAATAGCCATTCTGAACCCTGCCCTGTCCTGTGCCATCCTCATCTTCTCTGAGATTTGAGAGCCCATTGCTGAAGTCACAGTGTCAGTCCTTCTCAGGGGTCTCCCTCTCCTTCGCTGACTCTCCCATCTTTCTAAGCATCATGTCCCTTTCCAAGGAATAGCGTCTCCTAGCTACATGTCTAACATATGAACGACGAAGCTTCATCTTCCTTGCCTCCAAGGTGACACACCCTTCCCAGGCCATATCTGTGTGTCACTTTGGCATTCCATGAAAATGCACTAGACAAGACCAAACAAAAGGAAGAAATGCGGAAATAAAAGAAATGAGCAGAATGTTTCAAAAGACAGCACAAGAAGAAAAGCGGAGCATTATAATAAAATGTGCAGAGAGTGTGAATTAGAAAATAATATGAGATGGACACGCTTCGCTTTTCTCAGGCTGGGCCGGAATCAAGCCTCAAGCTGCAGTGCTTGAGGATTCTGTGGACAAAAATCTTGAATGATGCAGGAAGCATCAACTGATGATGAAAGGATACACAGAGTCATTGTACCAAAAAGAACTCTGAGGACTGAACCATTTCAGAAATTGCATATGATTAAGAGCCAGCGGTAATGAAGGCGTTCAAGCTGCATTGAATGCATTGGCAAAAAATAAAGCCCCAGGAATTTATGAAATATTGACTGACATGTTTCAACAAACAAATACAGCCCTGGACTTACCCACTAGTCTATGCAAGTAAATTTGGGAAATAATTACTTGGACAGCTTACTAAAAGAGGTCCATATTTGTTATCAAACTATATTATTAATATCACATGCAAGTAAAATCTTGCTGCAGATTTAAAAAAAAAAAAAAAAAAAAAAAGGCAGGCCAGTAGTACCTCAACACGGATCTGATAAAAATTCAGGCCAGTTCAGAAGAGGCTATGGCACATGGGATATCATTGCTGATGTCAGATGGATTTTGTCTAAAAGCAGAGACTACCAGAAATATGTGTATCTGTGCTTCATTGACTACTCACAGACACTTGACTTTGTGAATCTTAACAAATTACAGCTAACATTAAAGAAGAAGAGGAATCCCAGAATACTTAATTGTGCTCGTGCAAAACCTATACATAGACCAGGAAGCTGTTGTCCAAACAGAAGGGAACACTGCATGGTTTAAAACCGGGGAAGATGTACATCCTTTGTCCATATCGATTCAGTCTGTGCACTGAACAAAATCTGGACTATATGAAGAAGAATGTGGATTAGAATCAGGATTAGAAGAAGCCACGTCAACATCCTGAGTTTTGCAAATGATATAACCTTGCTTCCTGAAAGTGAAGAGGACTTGAAACACTTGCTATAGAAGATCAAAAAACTATAACCTTCAGTATGGATTACAGTGCTACATCAAGAAGGCAGAAACCCACCACTGGACCAGCAGACAACATTGTGATGGATGGAGACAAGATTGACTAGAAATTATTTTTTCTGTGTAATATCCACAATTAACAGCCATGGTAACAGCTGTTAGAAAAATCTTTTTGATTTTGACACTGCATTGGGGAAAATCTGTCAAGGACCTCTCCAGAGTTCTAAAAGCCAAAGATGTCATTTTAAAGACTAAGGTGCGCCTGATCCAAGCCATGATGTTTTCATTTACTTCTTATGCATCTGAAAGTTTGACAGTGAATAAGGAGGACAGAAGGCATTGCATCGAAGTCTTTGGTTGTGTTAAATAAGAGTGTCCCATAGATTGGCAAAAGAACAAACACGTCTTGTGAAAGAAGCAACTAGAGTACTTCTTAGAGGCACAGCTGGTGAAACTTGGTCTCACATTCTTTGAGAACGTTATTAGGAGGGTCCGCTTCGTGGGAAAAGACGTCATGCTGGGAAATGTGGCAAGTCAGAGAAAGAGAAGACGACCTTCAGCAAGATGGATTGACACAACACCGGCCTTGAGCATGGCAGAGATGGTGAGGATGGCGCAGATTCACTTCTTTTATTCCTAGGATCACTTTGGGCTTTAGTCAACTCGATGGCAACAACTGCTGATGCAGCTTTTCCCCTATATTTGCTACATGTGGGGGGGATACCTGATGTTGTCCACACTGACCCCTAAGATTATGTCCACGATGGTCATGGTTATTCTGGAACATGGGCACTTTGCAGCAGATGGAGAGCCATGCAGAGTTCCTGTCATGTTGCCACGTGACTGACTGATTCAGACCCTGGACCATAGTAGAAACTTAAACTGGTATTTCCAGAGGGTACAATTTTAGCTTCCTGCATAGGTTTTCAAATACATAGAGAAGCAACAGATGGTCTCATTTCATGTTACAGTGATTGATTGTCGCCACCTCCCTCCAAAAGCAGCTGGGCTGTGTTAGAAGGGTCCCCTGAGACCGCTGAGCACAGACCCAGCTGGTCCCCCTCACCTTCACTTTGTTCTCTGCCTAGGGTCCTGGTATAAACCTGACTTTTCCCATTACCCCATAATTTGGGCAGGCTCTTATAATCTCTTTGCCTTGAAATAATGATTGACCTCCCTGTGTAAATTGTGGTCCTGAGATTAGCAGCTCTCCTGGTTTCTGAGAGTTCATGTCTGAGCTGCTTCTCTATAATACTGTGTCTTAATTATCTAATGCTGCTATAACAGAAGTACCATCAGTGTGTGACTTTAACGAGCACCTTTCTTTTTCTTACAGTTTAGGAGGCTGAAAGTCCAAATTTAGGGTGGCCCTCGGAGAAGGCCTCTGCAGCCTATGAGCTCAGCAGAAGGCCCATTTATATTAGCTTTTTATTACTGGGCTGTCTTAGTACGGCTTGAGCATCTCCTCTGGTTTGCTTCTCTGCCCTGTTTGACAGATCTCTTTTTATGTTTCAAAAGAGATTGATTTAAGATGTATCACACACAAATCCTGTCTCATTAACATACCAAAGACAACCCATTCCCAAACAGGTTTAAAACCACAGGCATGGTGGTGGGATTTACTACATGTATTTTCAGGAACACAGTCCAATCCATAGCACGTTAGTAATTATTTATGATCCTGCTTTAAGGACATGTTGTAATGATAAAACTACTAGTGATTGCCAAGGCAATATTTTTAACATTTTGATAGCTATTGTTTGGGGGAGAGCAATGAATGAAACTGAAAAGGCCTTAGTACCGAAGCCCGTGTAGCTCTGGAGGTGTTTGGGGGGCATCTTGGATGATCTGAGGTCAAGTCCTTTTTCTTGAACACATGCAGGTCTCGTGTCAGCACAACAAGGTGATGAGGATCCCGGCCTTCCTTCCCAATCCTGAGGACTCACCTCTGCCTTCCGCACCTTCAATAGCCAAGTCAGGGTCGCTGGACTCAGAACTTTCCGTGTCCCCAAAAAGGAACAGCCTCTCTCGGACACACAAAGATAAGGGACCTTTTCACATACTGAGTTCAGCCAGCCAGACAAGCAAAGCACCCGAGGGGCAGAGCCAGCCCCTTGTGCCCACTTCCACCCGCCTGTTCGGGTTATCCAAGCCAAAGGAAAAGAAGGAGAAGAAGAAGAAGAGCAAAGGAAGCCGCTCCCAGCCCGGTGGTGAGTACCCATTCCAGGCTGCCCAGAGCGGGAGGTGCCGTGGTGTGCTGTTCACACGGTGCAGCTCACGTGCGTAAAAGCCGAATTGTCACAGTGCAGAGCCCGCTTGCTCTGTCGAATGTAACACCAAGAGCTCTAATGCGACACTCATCTAAGAGTCATCTCTCCTTGTGAAACATTGTGCACAACAAGATGTCTTTTTTTGACACACTTGTAGTCCAATTAAGGAACTGAGCGCCCCCTAAATGACAAAAGTTCCTCCCTGTTTTTCTAGTCCCAGTCCATTAAGTGATAATAATAATAGCTCATATTTGGTGAACATTATCTAAAATCTGGTTTCATCTCATTAACATGCCTCTAAAGCCAGGTGATCAGACCCTAGGAGACATGAAGAAGCTCAGAGATTCAAGTGTCCACAGATCACAGGGTCCAAGACTAAATCATCTGAACAGAGTCCTCCCGCATGTGCCACTTTCCCCTAAATCCTCCTCAAGTCTTTCTGGTTGGACTTGCTCGCTCTCTGCCCTCTACGTGGGAGTTTGACATTCCTGTTTTCTAGGTCTGTTTAGAAACACGAGACCTTGGTGGTATAGTGGATGCATTGGCTGCTACCGAGAAGGTCAGCAGTTCGATGCCATCAGCCCCTTCTCAGGAGCAGTGACCTGGCCATCTGATCCCAAAAGGATCACACTCTTAGAAACCCTGTGGGCATTTTACTCCGTCACACACGGTCACTAGGTGTTGAAGTTGACTGTCAGGCACACAACAGCTTTTAGGAACAGAAGTTGGAATGCGTATGTCAGTTATAGGGAGATTGGATTGTTAAGACTGTCATTAAATTGTGAAAGAACACTTCTGTTCAGTGACCACAACACCCCAGCAAGCTATTTTAGAGTTCACTGTCACCGTGTGGGAACACTGTTCGTCAGAACGGCTCAACAGCACCCGATACGATGTTCTACGAATGTCGTATATAACAAATTTTAAAGTGTTCACTGTCTTCAAGTTCCTGTCAGCTGCCTGCATCACACAGGATTTGATCTGGGGAAATGATAAGGCTCTAACTGGAAAGAATCACTTTTGGCTTAATTTTTTCTGATTTTGTTTTCATTTCCTGTTTACACTTTTCCAGATGGCCCGGCATCTGAAGTAGCAGCGGAGGGTGAAGAGATCTTCTGCTGACCTGCTTTCTCTGTTCAGTCGCCCCTCCTGATCCACGGTCACCAGCCCCACCTCTTGCACGCTCCCTGTGTGCTCTGCGTCTCTTGTGTGCCCCCCCTGGTGCCCAGCAGCAAGGCCTCTATGCTGCCCGGGTCAGAGTCAGAGGGCATGCGGTCTGGAGTGTCCCGGTGGAAAAGGAGGTCCCAGGTGGACCTGCCGTCATCTGTGACTGCCAAGGGCTCGCAGCTTGGGCTGGCTTTGTGAAGGATACCATAGTGAAAGTAGTGGCCCCAGAGTGCTGGTGACGGTTTTCAGGCATGTGGGCAATTTCTGTCCCTGAAGCAAAAGAATGTCTCCTGATGAGGTTTAGACCGCTGTGCGCTCTCCTTTCCTGAGGACAGCTCAAGCAACTGATAGCTGCCCCCTACTCTGTACCTGCATGGAACACCTACGTCCCAAGCCTGTTGGAAGGTGTGTGGTCTGTCCCACAGGGCCGAGGCTTCACTCAGCCAGTGGGAAGAGGGGATCGCCCAACAGGCTGAGACACTTCACATGGTGATTCAGAGTTCTCTGTAATCCCACCCAGGGCACCACTTCATCCCTTCTGCGTGCACTTCCCATTTTATTTTAGAGGAGATGACAAACGTTTGTGAAAGCCAACATGAACAACTCATGTTGTGTATGTGAAGAATCATATGACTAGTGGCACTTTGAGCTTGATCTTCCAGCTTTTCTTTTTAAAAAAAAACAAACAAACAAACAAACATATTTGAGGTTACCATCAAAGAAAATCCTCCATTGTGTCCGTGGTTAGCCCATTTTCTAGGCTCAGGTGAGGTTAGCCTCCTGTGATGTGACACTTTTTGGTTGTCACTGCCCATTCAGAAGTGGCATGGCCTTTTGCAGTATTCTGGGGCCCTGTTGCAGTCCCGAGGGCCCACCTCCCGTTCAGCCCTGTGCTCAAGGCCTCTGCAGTGGTCCCGCACCGCACCCAGACCACTGGGGAAAGGTGTTAGGCCCCTATGTGCTGGGCCAAGTTCTGGTTCTGCTTCAGTAAGCTGAAGCAAAATTATTTGTTTTAAAACGTTTAAAAACTAAAGGTCTACTGTTAATAGTTTTACCCTGCCCCTCAGTGATGTCACGAACGCTGCCTGTCTGTATTTTGTGTTTCCTTGCTCTCTCCTCCCTCTCTCTGCTGGATTCTGGTCTTTATTTGTGCGGCTCCTCACCACTGGGGCGTGCACAGGTCGGTTCATCGATGCCTTGTCAGCAGCGGCTCCCTCTTCCACCACGCGGCCCTCACGGCGAGGGGAGCCCTGGGGACGTAACGGGCATCAGCTGTGGCCTGTGACTCCTGAGTAAGGCCCCTTAGGCACTTGGGGCTTAGAAAACTGTAACATGGTGCTTGTTGATAAACTGCAAGCTGGCCTTGTAGATGGAGGTATTTATCTTTCAGTTTATTTGAAAGAAGTCTGGTTTAAAGTTTTTAGCTTAAATTTGTTTTATTTATTTTGTATGTGTATTATTTTCAGGATGAACATAGTGGCCCCATGGTTTAGAGGTCTGGTCAGTGTGGTCATGGTCACAGGGTCACAGCCAGCACCTCTTCCTCCTCATTGTCTTTCCAAGTGCCTTGAAGGCCGAGTGAAAGGGAGCCAGGTTCGGGCTGGCTTCCTCCCATTCCCCAGCCTCACCTCATTCCATTGTGGAAGGGTGTCTTCCTTAGGAGAATTCCAGAAATCTGCCCCCCAATGAGTTACCTTTGCCTGTTTTTGTCATGGAGGTTTCTGTCCCATCAGAAAGAGGCTTAAAATTGTCTGAAGACTCCAAACAGCAAACAGTTACTTCCTTCCACCTTTAATCCAGTTCCCCCGTCTGCCTCTCCTCCGCTTCAGCCCACCTGCCGCCTCTCCCTGCTGTTTCTGGGCCTCACCTCCGTCCAGGGGAAGGGTTACCCAGAGGAAAGGACTCCGTTCCCACTGATGAGTCAGGGCCCTGGTCAGCCCAGCCGCAGGAAGGGCAGTGCTGTGCCTTCTCTAAAGCTGGTGCGTGGCGTGGGCCCTGGTCTCCAGGCCGCACTGGGCGGGGCACAGCCCTAGTGAGTGCGTCACTGCTGCGCTGTGGAGGATGAGTTAACTGCACCTGCTGAAGCAGCTTTTACCCCCCACAGTTATGAGTGATGTGTGTTAGTGAAAATGAAGATTAGACGTCCAGTGCTTCAGACTGGACCAGTTTAGAACAAGAGCCCTTGTGTGGTGGAGGAGAGCTGCTAACCAAGAACTGCACTTCCACGGCTGGTGTCCTCTCTCCCCGCCTGGGGTTCTGAACCCAGTGGGGTTGTATTTACATGCTCGGGGCGTCACCGGCCGTATTTTGCTGCTTTTGCTTTTTGCTTGAGACCCTGACTCCCATACTGGCTGCTGAGTCTGCGGCACTGTTGGCCTTCTCTGTGATGAGAAGGTTCGCTGGCTGGACTCGGACCCAGTTCCCAGCGTCCTCGGCATGCTGTGAAAGCCAGTTCCCCACCACGCTGGAGAAGCCAGAGGCCTGGAATTGTGCTTCAGTTCTGGAGGGTAGTTGACAGCACTCCGTAGATGCTCCGCTTTTCCAGGACCTGGCAAACCCCGTGGAAGGATGTGCGTCTTGCCTCGGATCAGATCATCTCAGTATTTCCATCCCCGTGGGCCACATGTGCACTTTACTTGCTCTCATCAGCTGGCTACATGTCTGTCTGAGACAATCAAATATAATAACTGTGTTCTTGGAAAAAAAGAGAGGGTCAAGACCAAGCAAAGTGCCTGAGAGAACTTGGCCTTTGCCTGCAACCCACCCTCTCTCCCCAAGAGTGGGGGGAAAAAATTCCTAGTGAGATTTTTTTTAAAAAAAAAAAAGGTACGAATCTTACCTTCTCCCCTTATATCTCAGGGTAATTACCACTGAAAGTCGTCCCTTTGATCCTGTTCTCCTTCTTGGTTATTCCCCAAGGCCTCAGTATTAGCACATTTTGAAGACCCGTAGGGTTGTGTCTGTACCTTTATTTGAAGGGGTGAGTATAAGTGGGTAGGGGTTTCATTAAATCGGCCCTTCCTTAACCAAAGGAGGGAACCATAACCTTACAGGCCAGAACTTGACCCAGAAATTGCTGTCCATAAAAGTGCTTTTGTATTTCATTCTTTTGTCTCTTCAGGCCCTTTTTCCTATAGCCAGTTCTTTCTTCCGGAGGATTAAGTATGTGTACAGGGAACTGAAGTGCCCTCTAGCATTGTAATGGTCAGAGTGTCCCCAGGAAAGCCAGGCCTCGCCTCCTAGCCAATGCAGGTGTGATGAATGAGCCTCAGTGGTCATTAAGAAGGCAGCTTGCAGGAGAGTAACTGACCCTTCACTCCTGGACTCTGTGGATCGGCAAGCCTAAGCCCTGCCGTGAGAGGTGGCGTGGTTAGTGGGGAGCTGTTAGCATGGCCACGTGGACATGCGTCCAGGTCCTGGGGGGTCTCAGTCTTGCTCTGATGCCAGTCATTGATCCTCCAAGACAAGACAGCAAAAAGCTTATTTCGGTTTGCTTCTAAATTTTCTTTTTTCCAATGTAGCCTAACATTCCTAGTTAACCAGAATTTTGGAATCTACTGCCTGCTGGCCAGGTTTTCTTAAATGAAAAGTATTTTAATGCTGCCATAAAAGGAGGAGAAAGAAAAGTGGAAGATAAAGCAAAGACATCTTTCCATGTACTTACCTAGTTTAATCTGACAAAAGATTGACAGGCCATGAATTATTTGTCTATCTCACTGAGGTTTAAAGATAGGCAAACCCCACTGGCTAGGAGCTCTTCTGCGAATGCTTGCTCTCAAGATCTGCACTGGGGCCAGCCTGTGCTGGGGGCTCCCAACCACAGGGCTCAGCACGGACCAGGGGAGTACCTGGCACTCTGCACACCAAGCACAGCACACCATTCACTCCAACGCCCTTTCCCTGTGCCTTTGTAGCTGTCAGGGGCCTATTCAGCTGTGGTCAGAGGTCAGCTTTGTGTTCCCTGTTCATAGCCTGTGGAGGGTACACTAAGTGTAAAACCTTAAGGACTTGCAGGAGGGTAGTTATAAGACACCTCATACCTCTGCTTTTCGTTGTTTTTCAAATGCTACTATGAATATGTCTGTGCTAAATTCTATTAAGCTGGGTCAAAACCCACGAGCTGTATATTAATTTGTAATTATGTACAAAAATGAAGCAGTTTCAAAACTGTAAAGATTTTTTTTCAGTGTGTTTTCTGGAATTTTGCCACAACATACTGGCTTTGTATTTTATTTATCTTCCTTTCTAGTTATGAGCTTCAGATTCTTGTAAAGTTCCCTTCAACCATCTAAAAGAAAAATAAATTTCAAGTCTTGATCGTTGGTGTGATTCTTTTTGAACCCGTGGGCTTCCGTGAGAGATGGCCAAGGTTCTCCTGAGAAGGGGGCGTCACCCCTCAGGTCTCAAAGGAGCTCCACTCGAGAATGTAGAGCTTCCCAAGGGTCTCTGGCTTGGCATCAACTCCAAACCCTGGAAGCCAGATATTGTAGAGTCAAAACTGTGTCCAGAGATGTCCATGCTGCAGTTTTACCTTGGTGTAGATTGTACTTGTGAAAAAGGTTAATACTCATTTCTAGCTTTGCCAACTTTCTTTCAACTGCCCCACCTCCAAGCAGGAACACCTGCAAAAATCTAGGAAGAAAAGCCCCGTTTGCCTGTAGCTCCAGGGGGACGGAGGCTTCCCCGGGAATTGAGGGTACACACGCAATGCAAATGGATACTGGCCCGCCTGCAGGAACTGTGGCTTCCGCTCCTTAAATTGCTGACTTCCTCCTCCAAGTTGGCCCTTACGGCACCTCTTTATTTTAAAAAGCCTTAAATCCCACAGGATGTGGGAGAAATGGGCAGTGGGGTGTAATGCAAAGAACGTGGGCAAAGCTGGGAACTGCCCAGCCCCCAACCCCAACTACCCAAAAGAAGAATGCCCTGCCTGGGTGCCAAGAATCCCTTCTTTC